CCCCCCCCCCCGAAGTCATTAATGGTTCTCAAAACAAATTTGGTAAACGTATCTCATAGATGATATTTCATTTTTGAAGGGCATTTTGTGGTACGTTTTCATAAAGAGGAAAAAGATGTAATAGTTAATAGGAAATAGTTCCTTTGTCCCGTAAAGGTGTTTTCATTTTTGATTTCATCCATGCTCAGGGGACCTTGTTCTGAAGTAATCTCTTATTCCCCATCGCAATTGCAATTAGAATGTCTTCTTTTCCTTCCCTTAATGCCTAACATGTTGTCTTCTTTCTCTTTCAAATTGGAACCCAGCATGCGGTCTCTTTTAATACCTCAAAAGTAAATCTATTTATCATGTTTTATTCTAATCGCATATCATCAGAGTTGATTGCTATAGTTTTCACTTTATATCATGTTAAAACTAATTAGAGAGAATTAAAATGTCTATACAACATTCAATTCTAATATCTTTGCACTAATGATTTGGTGAAAATACCAACTTTAATACCATTACCCATTCTAAAAGTATTTTAATATAATTTTTTTCGAATAATTTGTGTTATCTATTTTAAAGTAGATCATATGTGGCTACTATAAAGCCCAAAAGAAATTTCTGATTCATCTCCACAAGTATTCATAAAATAGGTGGTCGCTGAGTTATCAAATAAATTATCACCTAATCAAGTCATGTGTCAAAAATTTGTGAGTTTGACTCTCAAATATTATATATAAAGATTAAGATATAATTTGATATAAATTTTAAATATAATATTCTTCGCATTAACTTTGAAATTGATTAAACTAAAAATAAAATCATATGAGTTACGTAATTTGAAGGGTCTAAAATCTTATGGGATAGATAGAGTAAAAAACTTGTAAAGAATAGCCAAGGACTTTGTCATCGCTGTAACCATTTCAAGTGGACCTTTCCAAGTGAAGGTTATATGTTCAATCAATGTTAGCACCTAGTTTTATTACAGACTTGATATCATACACTATGATATATGTACTCTATTGTATAAATTTTATACCCGCTCTTTATATGAAATTGATGAACTTACATTTATTTATTTGTTTATTATCATACCAAATTTAAATTTAATAATATAGTTGTCATTCAATTTATTGTTTTCCATTAATAAATATAATTATTACTTGACATATTTTTTATAAGTTGTACTACCTCCGTCGCAAAAAGTGTTTCTTATTTATTATTACGTCTTATCGATAACTCGTATTTATTTGCGTGTTTTCATTAATCATTTAATAAAATAAAATATTCTTGTCACTCTTATTTTATAGAGCTTTCTATTAATTTTTAAATATAATTTTCTTATGTATTACTCCGTATTTCTTTACCAATTTGCAAATAAAATCATTTTAAAATTCACATGGTTTTGCACGTTAATCAAAGTAGAAATTTTTTTTGGGACGGAGGAAGTATAATTTAGTATTTTTTATGATTTATAACATAATACTAATTTTAAATTCCAAGTAGTTATACGTGTCTAAAAAAATTTTAAAAAGGTATTTAAATACATTTTAAATACGTATTTAAATAGAAGATTTAAATTTTTTCTAGAAATTTAAATAGATTTTTTAAATTGTTGAAAGAAACTGAATAGATTTTAAAAAATTTAGGAGTTTAAAAGATACATAAAGAAGTTAGAAAAAATGGAATAAAATTAGAAGTTAATTTTTTCAAAATGAAAAAAAACGTAACTTACATCACTTTCGACCACATAATTTCATTTTTTTCTTAATCGTCAAGTCAAAGGGGAACACTTCTTACTAGACAGAGAGTATAGTTTAGTATAGTTTATAGTCTCTTGACTAAAAAGTAAAAAATTGAAAACATGGCCAAAAAAAGTAATGAAGGACGCCTGCGCCGTTGCAAAACAAGCACCCAAATTTCTACACAGAAAAAAGCCGGAAGACACTTTTTTTAAAATCGACCAAATAGAACTGCCAAAATCATTATAATTTAAAAATAACATGGAATCAGGTTTGAAGTTCAAAAACAATGACAGGCTGCTACCCAATAACAAAGAAGAAATACAACTGATGGGAATCGTTGCAAGCTTCAAACCTCAGCAGAACAAAACTTGTAATCTATGAAGTATTTTCTTTATTCTTATATAAAAGTGGGCTCGCATTACAAGCACACCAGCAGAATGCTGCGCCTCAGCCCTTCAACATCCATTTAGTAAGGCTCAACCGGTTTGCGGAAGCTGGCTCCGGCGTAAACAGCTGCTGAACCCAGTTCCTCCTCAATTCTCAAAAGCTATACATTAAAATAATAAATGAAACAGGCTTATTATAACAAAACAAACATGACTATTTACGTAAATTTATAGACATATGCATGCACACAAAAAAAAACCTAGCCCTAGCAATGATGGTTATGAGTGTACCTGGTTATACTTGGACAGACGCTCCGATCTGCAGGGAGCTCCAGTCTTGATTTGACCCTACACTCACAAGGATATTGACGTTCAAAATATTTGACAATAACATATATGCACCAAATCTTATATCCTTTCTTCATTGCGAGTATAATAATATAATTACCGTTGCCAAACCCACAGCAAGATCGGCAATAAAGGAATCCTCAGTCTCTCCACTGCAAAAAAGGTACGCATACAATCAATTACTAGGGTAAAAAAAAATTCTAAAAATGGATATAGAAATGTTTCTATTTTGTATATGAACCACATGAACATAGAATGTTGTGCACCCATACCTGCGGTGGCTTGTCATGACACCCCAACCAGCTCGCTTAGACATCCTTACAGCTTCGATACTCTCGGTCACAGATCCAATTTGGTTAACCTAATGGAGTAAAAATGATGTTATGATAAATTATGATAAATCATTTCCTAATAAATCGTGTAAAAAAATTTAACCGCTCAACTAGTAAGGATCATAGAGGTCTACCTTGAGAAGAAGAGCATTGCATGATTTACCATCAATTGCCTTGGAAACCCTCTACACACAAAAAGGAAACTATATCAGTTGGAGAAGTAGCTAAAGGGACATAAAGAGGCAGGAAAGCACAACAAAGGAATATAGGAGATAACCTTAGGGTTGGTGACCAGGAGATCATCTCCAACAACTTGCACTTGCTCTCCAATCTCAGCAGTGAGCTTTGCATAGTGTTCCCAGTCATCTTGGTCAAACGGATCTTCAATGGAAACAATAGGGTACTCAGAAACAAATGACTTGTAAAGATCCTTGAGCTGGTCGCCAGAGATCTTATGTGAGCCATCATTGCTCTGCAAATCCGTATGTATGGTTTTGGTTAAGGGGAAAGGAAAATACTTCTTCAGACTTGCAGCAAAATTTACAAAAATGGATTAAGAATAAGAGTGCTGAACAGAAATGCTTGTGCTCATTCAAATTGCTCTGTTTTTAAGAGCATAGATGAACATGAGTTTGTGCAAAAAAATATAATAATCAGATGGTGTGACTTAGACAATACGCTAAGTTTCCCTCTGGTAATCCCACAACTATTAGCATTGGGAGTGTGATTGGAACTGTCACCCCTCCCCGGAAGAAATTGTTCAGCACATCATATCGTTCTCTCTAATGGAGCCAATAAGGACAAATAACACCTAACCGAAGTTTCACCTAAACTAATGGAGGTGGTACAAACTCAAATAAGAACAAGCATACCTCCTCTTTGAAGTTCAAATCATATGATTTGTCCTTCCCATAGAACTCTGAGGCAGCAACATCCATTCCAATAACAACCTGTATGGACAAATTTATGTTCTTAGAAAAAATATACAGAAGCCACTTGCATGAATACTGAAAAATGGAAGCCAAAATAGCTCACCTTCCCAGTATATCCTGCCTTCTCAATAGCAGTCTTTAGCAATTCAAGACCTTCCTTGTTCTCCTGAATTCATTTGGGAAGAGATTGTGAACCAAAAAACTAAAGGGGGCAAAGCAAAAACGTATTAGGAATGTATTCAAGGCTAATTTTGACCTGAATGTTAGGAGCGAAGCCTCCCTCATCCCCAACATTGGTGGCATCCTGTCCATATTTCTTCTTGATTACAGCCTACAGTTATGGCATTGAACTTGTTGGATTGGTAAACATGTAAGTGACCACAGGATTTAAAGCTTAATTGGTGTGCATTGAGTAATGTTAGTATTCTAGCATTACAAATCTCATTATCTATAGAGCATTTTACATCACAAGAACAAATGTTGGCTCATTATCAACTTGATCTGAGAGAAACACAAACAGGTAATTATGAAAGTCACACCTTCAAGTGGTGGTAAACTTCACAACCCATCTTCATGGCCTCCTTGAAACTAGAAGCTCCAACGGGGAGAATCATAAACTCCTGTAAAAAGAAAACCATGTATCAGCAATTGAAATGCAATACCCATAATAAATTACGTTGTGTAATTGCACAATATCAAAGACAGACCTGCATGGCAAGTTTGTTTCCAGCATGGGATCCACCATTGATGACATTGAAAGCTGGGACTGGTAAGACCAACTTCTTGTTGCCAGCAAGGTTTGCAATGTGCTGTTGGAGAAAAAACATCATCACAAATTGGACATGCAAATAGTACTCCATAATAGTTTCAATGCATGAGAAACATTGAATAGATGAAAGAGATATGTGCTACTAATCACTTAACGTCATATTAACGAACAGCCAGTCAGCAACAATACCTGGTAGAGAGGAATATTCTTGACAGCAGCACCTGCTTTGCATACAGCAAGAGACACTGCTAGGATGGCATTTGCACCAAGCTGAAAAGGAAAATAATGAGTTAGTACTCGTTTTAGTCAAATTAGTCCATGTAACTAGAAAATGTGAATCAAATTAGTTCTTTATGCAAAATTTATCTTCTAAAATTCTTAGTGAACACGTTAATTGACACAAAAACTAATACACGGGGCCATTGCTCTTGCGTCAATTAACGTGATAACTCAAAATTCTAGGAAACAGATTCCGTTCAAAGGACTAACTTGATTCACATTTTCTATTTATAGGGACGAATTTGACTCAAATGAACTTTCAGGGACCAAATTGAGTTGTAAGTACACTAAGAGGGACCAGAATGAGCCAAAAAAATACCACAAAAACCAGCATAATTATTCAATTACCTTTTGCTTGCACCAACCCCACTCATTCTGAGTGCCATCTAATTGCTGAACCATGAAATTATCAATACCAATCTGATCAGTTGGGTCCTGCAGAGGCATTACGATTAAAAAAATGTTCAGATACCGACCCAGACCATCAAATCTGTAGTGAACAAAGTCTTAAACACTATGGCGGTTATCCAAGAAGTCACCCAAGTAAAGGGTGGAGTTGAATACAAACCTTGCCAATCAGAGCAGGGGCAATAATGGAATTGACATTATTAACAGCCTTTGAAACACCTTTTCCAAGGTACTCTGATCCTCCATCCCTCAGTTCAAGAGCTTCATAGATTCCTGTTTGATAACAAATACGAGAGACATTCAGGTGAAAAGTTAAAGGAAGATAAACAAACTACAAAATGCCAAAAAGCATAATAAACTTTCAAAGACAGTAAACTACTGCGTACATAACATTTCCAGATTGAAATTCATTCTGGATCAAAAAATCAAATGAACATATCATACTTTCATGACCGTTAAATCCATTAAGATCACAACAGAGTAACACAATATTGATATTCACAGAATCATATACGGATCACTTTTATTCTACACAAAGATTAAAAAAAACGCAGTACTGAATTGGAGCAGAAATTAGAGCTATCGAATTTTACCGGTTGAGGCACCGCTAGGAACAGCAGCCCTGGCCCAGAGACCATTCGACACATGCAAATCGACCTATAAAAAACAACATAACATCGACATTAGCCAAAAAAAACACACATTATGATCCGATCAAACAGAAAACAAGACGAAAATGAGCTGATCGGAGATGAGAAAATGGACCTCAACAGTGGGATTGCCACGGCTGTCAAAGATCTGACGGGCCTTGACGGACTTGATGGTAGCCATGGAAATGGGAGTTTTCTTTGTTGAGGACGGAAGGGTTTAGGAGAAAATGAGAACGACCAGGACAATGGCGGAGAGTTCAGAGAGCGGGCTAGGGTATATATATAAGTAGATGTAAATGGAGGAAGCTGGTGGGGTAATTACGGTCGTTGGATTTTTGGGGTTTGGTTTTGGCTTGGGCAGCAAGATAATTCCCTCCAATCCTTCCATACAAAATGCCGATTTTCCATTCACTTTAAGGCGTGTTTGGTTGGGACTTGGGAGAGAGAGGTTTCTTTCCTTTTGTTTAGATGGAAAGAAGAACGAAAGTATTAATTTCTACTAATGCTTGCTTCACAAATAAAATGATCACAAATCTCACAAATTTATTATTGTAAAATTTAATAACAAAATAAAGTATCGGAGAAGGCTCCAGGCCCGGACGGTATGAATCCAGACTTTTATCCCTTCTTGATGAATGTCTTCCTTACGTCGCCAAGGCTGCCAAACTTTATTGATCATGACGAGTGACACGAAGTGAAGTTCGGAAAGAGGCAGTGAAAGGTCGTGAAGGAAAATCTTGTCATAACCCGCTGAAGGAAGAGTGGTTCGCTGTACATGGTCGGGTTACTGTTTGAGGAAGTGCCCGTCCCAGTTCAAAAGAGAAACAAAGTCTGGGTCACAGAGTCTCGTGGGCAAAAAAATGTTGTCTTTGCAAAAGAGAAACCTAGAGCCACAGGTCAGACTCGGGTTGGACAAGCGAGGAAAGGTTCAAGGAAGGTAGTTAGAGGTATCTATGGCAGTGGGAGCACAGGTGGTGCTTCAGCCAAGGTTCCTAGAAAACAATGAGTCCGGAGAACCAGTATTCCAGCTGTTGAAACGTCTATAGAAAATTTCTTGCTTTGAAAACCAAAAATTGAATTGAATTTGATTGAATGTTTCCAAAAATTAAATCGAATCGATAAAATAGAAACCGAATACCGAAAAACCAAACCATTTTGGTTTGGTTTCGATTTTGAGCTTTGAAAGCCAAACCGTTTTAAACCTAAGTATATAAAGAATTTGTAAAACCAATTTTTTTACAATACATTTCTTTTCTATTTCTTTTATTCATATACATACTCCACACTCTTCATTCTTTAATATATTTTGGACCTAAGTTTTATTTTATTAGCGATTTTTTCTTTAAAAATCGCAAAAGAAGTGAAGAGTAGAAGGGAATAACTAAATTGCCTCAAAAATTTCAAGATAATGAAAAAACATAAATGTTTTGTTATTGCATTTTAAGAGTTGATCTATTAAAATATTCGATTCGAAAATCGAGTTTGATTTGTCATTGTATTAATATTTTTAAAAGATTTTTTGTTACGTTTTTAAGGTTTAGTTGCCCGATTTAATAGTTAGTTTGTTCTTGCCTCATTAAAAAAATTAGTAATATCAAGCCAATTTTTTAACAAAAAAATGATTTACTTTGTTAAAATAAAATTACTTTGGAAAAAAAGAACATTACTTTTTTTTGCTTCATCGAGTTAGTGTTACAACTTTTTTAATGCTTATAATTTTTTATCTGAAAAAACCAAAAAAACACGAAATAAAAAAGCGCAAAAAACTGAACCGGGTAGCCAACAAGTCACATGTTTTTGTGCAAAACTGAACCAAACCACTTACCTACTTTTTGGTTTTGGGTGAAAACCAAACCGCTAAAATTGAACTCACCCCTAGTTTTTGCAATACATTGTATGTCAATGGATAATAATCAAATCCAGTTTCTGTATATAGTATTCCATGCTTATAATACATGTTTCTGTATTGCTTTGAATGTTGAAATATACACAAGGGAAACATACATATCAATTTGCACCACAACTCCAATTCTTATTACTTACAACCTATACCAAACAACAAGACCTTTTCTATTATACAATGAAAGAATTGAATAACAAACCTGACCCAATTTAATGAGAAAAAAAAAGAATATAATGAAGGTGCAAGATGCTATATTTCTTGGAATGCTAAAGACAGCACGACGCGAAAACCAGAAGAGATTCATATGTCGTGTACTTGAACGCGCAAACTGTTAAGAGTTAGGGGACAAATGTGCCAATGTATCCGAACCCAGCGATGAAGAAGGCGATTGATTGGATGAAGAGGTAAAGGAAGTAATGGTTCCTCCCAAATGCAACATCATAGCACCCACAGTAGAAGAGGTAGGCACCAGTTGCAAGTTCTAGGATATGAATCCTGTTCAAAATGATTCAAGTAAACCCAGGATCAGTTTAATGATCAACAACCTTAAACATTACTGCATTTGTGTTTTCTTTCATCACATATATACCTTTCTCCAATCCTAAACCGAGGTTTTTTCGACACCTTCGTTGGTGCTGGTTTTAGCTTGAAAGCCGCCGCGGCGTCTCCTAGCTTCTCGGTGACAATCCATTCGTTCACTCTCCCGGCTTCCAACAACCCGATGAAGGTAGCCTTTGTGCGGTGGAGAGACATAACGTTCTCAAAAAGGATCCAGAACACAAGCAAATGCAATGACCTGCAAGTATGTGTAGAATATAAAAAAATTGGGCAATGCTAGGGGTACATCAATATGGGGTACCTCATTTGTACACCAGACCAACACAGACACACATAGACACAAAATGTCTGTGCTGCATAGATATTTTGTGCCTGTGTGTCTGTTTTGGACTGGTGTACAAATGGGGTGCCCCATGTTAGTGTACCCCTAGGTTAATTCAAAAAAATTTCCAATGTCTACAACCAAAAGTTTTAGTTTTTGGTTCAAAGGAAGGATTGAGACAAATAAGAGAACCTTGGAGTCCCAACAGCATTGAGGAGAGTGATGATAGTGGGATTATAAACAGATGCCCATTTTGGAACATCGACCTCGGGGACAAGAACGGTTGCAGGCAAGACGATGCAGTAGAAAACAAATGTGACAATGTGTGCCACGATCTTTCGGACAAAGAAGAAGCTGTAGATGACATGGATTTTCTTCCACAAGTTCACTTTCTGCACATATAATTAGAGACAAGATTATTACTATATATTAAGAAGGGTAACAATAATTATAGAGGAATTTACTTAAATAGCACTAAAACATAATGACTTTCCCTAAATAGCACCACATGTGTTTTTCTTCCCAATGTAGAATTTTAGTCATTATGCATTAGTCATTTATTCAAGTTAATATTCGCCATCACAGAACACTATGGACATTATTAAGTGCTATTTAGGAAATAAAACAATTTAAGTGCTATTTAGGGAAATGACTTAAGTTTTAGTGCTATTTAGTGCAAATATTTCATAATTATAAGATGATAAATTAATATAAATAATAGAATACCTTATTTTTGACAATCTCCATCGCCATTTTCCTGAAAAGATTAGCAGGGCCACAAGACCACCTGTGTTGTTGGTATCGATATGCCTTGAATGTGCTTGGCAATTCATTCTTCACCTGCACCCATAAATCATCTCTGAGTCAACAAGACTCTGATACCATGTCAAAGTAATCAACTCAAACAGAGAATTCAAACTTGTAGTTATAGGCCAAGAAGTAGTGTGATGATGTAAAATAAAGACCTTGAGGGAACCAAGGTATAAGAATTTCCATCCTTTGAGAGAAGCACGGACGGCTAAGTCCATGTCCTCAACCGTGGTTCGGTCCTTCCACCCGCCTGCCTCGTCTATAGCAGCCAGCCTCCATACACCCGCCGTCCCTGTTTCACAAATCTTGTACGTGAAATGAGAATATATAATAACTAAAAACTTTTCATTTAAAAAAGTCACAGTTATATCGATCGATCACATATACAAGATACATTTACTTGAACAATGACCAGTGGTGCTACATTGAGAAACAAAAACACATGGTACTAAATTGGGAAAGTCATTATGTTTAGGTACTATTTAAGTAAATTCTCCTATATATATATATATATATATATATATATATATATATATAGTGTCATTAATAAATGACAAGTAATTAATAAATTTATGTACCATTGAAGCCGAAAAAGGCATAGGTGGAGGAGCCAACTTGTTGCTCCACAGTGAAATGATAATTTAAAGACATTTCCTGCATTCTTGTCATCAAGCATTCATCCGCATTCACTGCAACATAAATCAACACCCACCAACCCATCATCATCATCATATATACAACCAACCAATACAACAAAGGCAAATGAGCAATGCTAGGTTCATAAACAAAATAATCACAAATTTCATAAACTTGCTATTTATGGTTTAAATTCTCATTTTAAAATTACTTTAAACTATTTAATTTTTTATTGAAATTCACAAATGGTAAGTTTGTGAAGTTGGTGAAGCTTGAGTTTGTGAACCAAGCATTTCTCTAGGAGCTAGTTATCTAGTAATTCCTGTTGAATATTACAGCGGGAAAATAAAATAAATAATAATCCGAACTTATAAAACATTCGGATTTTACAACGAGAAATAAAGAAAATAAAACTGGAGTCTTCGGATGCTCGAACGAAATGGAGGAACATGAACGGGCAGCAAGGTGGTGACTTCGGACGGAGGGTTGTGCGTCACCAGAGCAGTTTCTCGAAGTAAGGTAAGGAAAGCGGAGTCGTCGGAGCTTTCCTTAAGGTAGTATTGCCCGCCTCCCGCACTGGCAAAACGTGGGCAATCTCCTCCCAGGATAAAACCGCAACGTGCTAAGTCTAGGGCGGTAGAACAGAGCATCGGCGAACGAGAACGACAGGAAGTTATTGCCGAAGAAGATGATCGGAAATCGGGGATTCGTCGGAAGAGTTTTACTACAGAGAGAGAGAGAGTAAAAATTTAGCCCCGCCGCAGACGCGGGCCCGCCCCGCGCGCGCGTCGTGTCGAGTCGGACGGCGGCGGCGGCGCGCGAGGAGTCCTCTTCTTGTTCCTTTCATAAGCTCAATTAAGTGCTCAAGTTTAAATATGAGAATGTGAAAGGTTCAAGATCCGGTGTGGGACAAAGACTTTTGCTCTTCCCATGTGTTCGACTTTGTGAATTAATTTCTCATTCACCCGAGCACCATTTTTGGCGTGTAATGTGTCAAAACACTTATTTCACTTACGAGATTAAACGTCCATAATTATTTCGGAAAATAATTTTGTGGACCCTATCGAATTTATGTCCGAAAATTGTCAATTTATCAAAATTTCCAACAATTCCTCCGTCCCGCCAAACATTTCCTGTTTTGACTTTTG